GTTTTGTTCATGAGTTAGATTTCCAGAGCAAAAAAACGAAATGTAAAAAAAATTTTCTAACAAAAAATAAAACCGTTTCAAAATAGAAAATGGAAATAAAAAGTAAAAAATAATATCTGGCTTATGATATGGAAGTCGGGCGGGTCAAAATTGAAAGACGTATTATTACCTATCAGAAATGAAAATCTATTTAATGTTTCAATCTTGACCCCGGCCCGACTTCCAAATCATGAACCAGATTTTATTTTTCACTTTTTAGTTCCATTTTCGATTTTCAAGTCGGTTTTATTTAAAAAAAAAAATAATTCATCCATTTTAGTGAAACCTTCAAACCCTGATTTGGTTCCAATGGAGTGGACACCTTGGAAGTGCACTCTAGCGAATAAAAAAAAATTTGGAAATCGGTCCACAATTGACGGAGAAATCGGTGAACATACATAAAATATATATACAGTCGAACACATAACCTTCTCCTTTTTTGAAGTCGGTTAAAAATAAACTTATGTATATGTTGTGACGGAAAAATGCTTGCTTCAACAAGTTTTGCAACGTTCAATTTTAATGATTGACAACTAATACTTAAATTATGTAGACTCGTTAAGCTCTGATTCTTTGTATGCACATATCATCTCAGGCATTAAACGGTTACCCAACGTAATTCATGTATCCGGTATACTAAGCAATTGTGTCAACCGCGTATCTTTCAAGCAAATATGTAAAAATGTCAGCCGAGGTCAAGCGTAAACCTATTTTCAGTAGAAATAATTTGGTTACATAAGTGTTATAACGCCCACAACACAATGCCGAGATGCGCTGACACGACACACATCTACGCTACGGGTTTATGTAATATTTCACTGGCGTCTGCCGTTAGGTTTGCTCAGACGGGCGAGCGTTTTACTTGACGGATTTACTAAAAAAAATTGCAATTAGCCCTATAATTACATGCATTTTAGTAAACTGAAACCTTTAAAACATACATTTTTGTTCATCTTTAATGTGTCGTATTAGATTTTTTATTGTTATTAAAAATCAGACTATGTCTGATTAAATTTAAATGCATCAGTGGGTAAATGGTAGAAAGCACACCATTATTTAAATTTATACTTATATCTAAAAACAAAGTAAAATTTATATATTAGAAAAAATATTGAAAAGTAAAAATGAAACTCTGCCCAGGTGAAGCTTTATCCAAAGCAACTCTACTACCTATTTTTGATTCTAGTAAAAAAACGTGAGTGACGTGGTTAGTTCGATCTTCGATCATGGAGGTCATTGGAGAGTCATTAACGCTGTGCGATCAATTCTTAAAATATACATTTCACACACTTCGTTGTTTGAAAATTCTATCACTGGGTTGTTCACACAAAAAAGGTAGAAGCAAAACGCTTGCTACGTGTCCTTTAGATACCTACCATATATTCCACCAGTTGCAAAACCGATATTGAATTTTTCAACAAGGGCGTTTCAACCGCTCGTCTGCGTAAGTTCAAACTCTGACATTTCGTTGCATCAGAGGTCACCATTGGTAAAGCAAAACAATAGCATTACCACTCGCACCGTACCTATCGGTCACAAACAACTTCTCACATTTACATGGTACAAATAAGAACAAATCACGGAGTAACTGAGTTACTAGTTGATCATGGCGCTTGCAACAGTGCCGAAATCTCGGAAACTCGCAAAAAACAAGGTACATGGTAACAATCCCGTGAATAACATATATTACTATAATACCTATGCTTGTTTGCCACCCTTTTAACATAAAAAATGAAGCTAGTATATAAAGTCAATAAATTAAAACAGACGTAAAAAGTGAATCAAAAAGTTAAAACAATGACTTACTATCGAGAGTTCTTAGTAGGTGCCTACACTAATCGTATATTGGTCGGCCGGCCATTTCGACTTTGACATAGAATAAATTAATTGTTATTGATATGACTGCTACTGTGCCATAACATTTACAATCAATTTACTATGGTCATTAAGTTTGATTTTATTGGCTGACCTTTGATCAGTTAAACTTATTTTTAAAAAACTTTGATATTTTAGTCTCAACTTCGATTTCGTAAAATAATGTTTAAATTTGATCTTAGGAGAACCTTTAAACGGTATAAAGGGTACACATGTACCAGGGTACATTTCTATGTACCATATATACCATTTATATGATGACTAATATCTGCTTCACCCTATTGGTGTAACAAAAAAACTATTTATTTAACTATCTGTGGTCAACAGGGTTTCACAAATACCTAAACCATATCATTGTTAAGAAATTATTTTGTGAAACTGTTTGTTGATCCAAATAAAAAAATTAAAAATGCAAATCCTATGCTATACCATAGGGGATGGGGGACGGAGATAAATTTTTCCACCCCCTTACCAAGCCTCTTAAAGACCAAATAAAAAAAAATGATTTTTTACGTTCTTTATTATATTAAGCTCTAATGTGAGAACTGGCGAAAAAAATAGTGAAATTCATCACCTGCCCGGGCGAACCGCCAAGCAATGCCAGTGCTTCGATGTTCTGGCGTTGCTGTTTTAACTGTGAATACCAATTTGCAATTAGGAAACTCTTTATTTACAATATCATTCAAGTTGTAGGCTGTACGTACTTAGTAGTAACTAACATTGAAGGATCGCTTACAAATTGTTGTTTGCGTTGCGCAATCCGTTGTACTTCGATTGTGCATTGTGGACGCGCCACCGGCCCGGTTCGATTCCCATGCGTTTGATTTATCACAGTCTTCTGTGCGAGCATACAATGGGCTTAAACCTTATCTGCTTCTCTGCTTGTATGTTAATATGGCCTCGACTCTTTTTCGGATGTAAACAGGGAAGGTTATGCCATAGTGAAATAGTCAAACAGTATGATATCTAAGTATGGTTGTTGTGATAATGTATCAACATGTGAAAAGTGATATTAAGGCTGATTTACGCCGAGTCAACAACATGCGACATTGCGTCATGCTATATATTTTGGCGTGATTCATCTGGTGGTATGCTGTAAATAAAAAAAACAGCTTTTTGCAACATTCTGCAGTCTATTTTAGACCGAGGCAATATCATGCCTAGATAATTTTCAAAGCACTGTGCTGTAAAATATTAAATTATAGGTGTGGCATGCCACCATGTCGCACAGTGTTGCCCCGGCGTGTGGTTACATTGAATTAGAAACAAGACAGATTTTTTTTCCATTCAACGACATTGATAAAGTCGAACAAATTTATTGATATTTTTTGCATAAGTTTTTTTTTATATAAGTCGACCTCTAAAATATGAGATAACTTGAATGGACATATGATGTATTTCTTAATATGTCCATTAAGTTGTAATTTAACTACTAGTTGTGCCCTGCGGTGTTACCCGCGGTTTAATAGGGTCATTTTCCCGTTGTAAAACGTAGCCTATGTGTTAATCCAGGTCAGCTAACTCTATACCAAATTTTATTTAAATCGCTCCAGCCGTTTAGACGTGCAGAAGTAACAAACATACACACTCAGACACTCACAAACTTTCGCCTTTATAATATTAGTGTGATATCTATCGATATAATTACAGTTCCATTTGGGTACCTTTGGGTACGTAGATAACTCTTAAAACTTAGTCTAACTTTAATCAATATTTTTTTCAATAAGGCTAATTTAGTTTTGTTTGTCTAATAACAAACATTTCCTACTGACTGAATGTTTCGAACATATCTCAAACTTGTAGATGCACATTGAAGATTAGCCGATGTCTTTATTTCATTAATTGACTTCTGACATTGTTATTGCGGCAAGATAACATCTACCGTACAATAGTTTGATGGATCCATGTTCATAATTGAAAGGCATTGTTTAAAAAATAATATGAAATTATTGTAAATTAGGCATTTTTTGAGCTTCTATGATAGAAATAGTAACCTTCGGATTTTTAAATGCCGCATATCCGTCAACTAGGCTAGGTAAAGCAAGCTCTGCATTTTACGAGATACCACCACCGAGATAGAATTCCACGAAAAGTACATTTAAAGGTATTATATATTTTTTAAAGAATTTAACAGCTAGATGTTTATACTTGTAGGTATGTTTGATGCAGATTACTTACCTTTAAGTTGTCGATTTGTGCTTTGTACGGGACTTGGAAACTCTGCACTCTGTTTCGTTTTCGCTTCTGGACCGAATCTGTATAGATTCTAAACCGACCGACATGGCTCTCTGTATCTATCGCTTCCGATTGCTGCCGAAGCATTCGACTCGCCCTTTACGTTACTCCCGCAAACAAACCCTTAGCAAACAAAACGAAACGAAACCGCACAGAAACCAAGAAGTGGCTCTCAGAAAGGAATCTGTTTTTGTGCTGCAAAAGGAAGCTGTTCGATCAATTTACAATCTTAAGACTAGAGACTCTTTAAGATAAAAAAATTAAAGAAATAGATATAAGGACTATTGCTTCAAATTAAAAAAAAAAACCTATAAATAGTGATAAGCACTCGCTTAATACTAGAAATAAAAAATAAATTAGCTGTACCAATTACAAGGCTCCATAAAAACAATAATTCATTTACAGGTTTTTGTGTACGCTTCTACAACAAAGTCCGTAGCAATATCCAAAAATAAAGCATCTCTCAAAAATTTTCTCCACAGCTAAAAAATGTCCTTAACTGGTGGTAGGGGAAAAATTGGATGGTTCAAAAGAGTTTTATTGTGTATCCAATTTGAATAAAGATATTTTGACTTGACTGGTCTTACAGCTGCGGTACAGAAACTACAACAAAACGGGCCCGCACCGACCCGCTGAGGAAAGCGCGGTATTTTTAAAGTCCATAACATTCATTAATTTGCGAGATCGTTACCTGTTGTAGGTACTTTGTATTTTACAAGTCCATGTCAGGTCCGATATTTTGGCACTGTTGCAAGTGTCAGGATCACGGAGTGACAAATTAGCTAGTTACTATAGTGTTAGTGACCATGAAAGTTTAGAACAATATGTCTAAAATAACTTTTTGTCTTCAGATGGCGCGCTGGTGCGCTATGATGGCGCTGTTGGCCCTGATGATATGTTCCAGCGCCACGGAGAGCCAATCACGATTCCGTAAGATTAAACATATATTATTGTTTGATAATTAACTTATCAGGGTAAAATATTTCTGTTTCAGTCTCGACTCTTCTAGTTATAAAATGAAGTAGCAGAAATCATAAATAATAAAGGTTACGCAGCCGCTAAAGTACCTATCTTGTAAAAGATTCAAAAAGAGTTTTATTTGTATGTGACAGAAATAAATTTATTTCTGTGTTGCATGTAATGAAAAGCAAACGACTTTGTATGCAGCATTGCCTATAAAAAAAAATAAGGAAATGCAAACATTCGGTAACGAAACTAAAAACTTGAAAATTGTTAGGATCTCTTTCTAGAGTCTACGTTGTTGATTTGCCAATTTGTGTGAGATTGGTAAATATTGTTAACAGGCTACAAATTGCCAGTAAATAGAAATCTAGAAGATTTTTTTTAATTAAAAATGATTGTTTGAATTAACTTAAAATAAATATGCTCGTAATTTTAACAGACGGCCCACACCAGCGTTTTTCCGCACGACGTCGTCGTCGTTACAGCGTCCGCGCAACGTCGATGTGACGGCGACACCGCGATGCCAGCGCCGGCCGGCTTGCATTGTATTTGTTCGCAAAAATCTTTCAAACTAAGGTTACGCTGCGTTAAGCCTGTGGTTCGGCAGCCGGTCAGCGCTAACTTCGTGTCGCCGTGGCGACGTCGAACAATGTTGACACATTGTGCGGACGTTGGCACGACGACGACGCTCAAATGACGTTAATGTGGGGGAACTAAGAGGTAGTTCTATTGAAGACAATTTGTATTTAGGTGTAATATCTAACAGTTCACCTATTGTTTTCTTATTTCTTTATGTTTTTAGACTAAGGGCGCTTGTTAGCGAGATAATTTTTTGCCCGGGTCTAGGCACGGTTTTACCCTGTGTGTAAGTCCGGTCGTCACTTAGGTCGTTCACGGAGGACGATTTGTACGTTAGAACCGTGTAACAAATACACGGTTCTAACGTACAAATCGTGCTCGTGAACAAGCTTAGCCGGAACCGGGCCGGATAGAAACCGTATAGAAATCGTCTTGTTAACAAGCGCCCTACGGCCCACTTGCACCAAAGTTCTTCATTCAAAAAGCATATCATGATTAAGCCTCGTGCCATCTCTACTTGACAAGGATCGAATAATGTACTAAACAAGATTACTTATGCCTTAATTTATATTAAGGATATCTGATACAAGTGGGCCTCATAATCTTTAATATACTTACTTATGTAAAAACTTGTATTTCAAGATGTGCATCTAAATATAACATCATTTCATTATTAAGTAACCTTTGACAATTATCTTCACAATTTAATAAACTCAAAGTAAATACCATCGGATATGTGACATTGTATACATTCGAGAAAATTATATTAGAGTAAATAAATAATAACTGAAAAAAATATAAAAAACGAAACAATTACTTCTATTAAGTACATTACTTTATGGTGTATTATTTTTGGATATTATTAGTAGCTGGCTTAGACTTTAGTTAAATTAGCCGTAGAAAGATATATCCATAATAAATAATATTTTAAAAACTTTCATTACATTTAAACAGAATTCAACTTCGATATTCTTAACCCACCACCATTCACCTATTTGGCCTTGAAGTTTAGTTTACGAATAATTAATAATAATTCAATTTTTTTTCTAGTAAATTTTTTTCTAGTAAACTTTTCTTTAGATTTAAACATCTAGCAGTTAAATGCTTAAAAAATAAATAAAATCATAACAATAATTCATTTTTATATTTATATAAATGGACTTTTGTAATACGTTTGAACACAAATTAATTTTGATACTTACTGAAATGGCGAAAAATATTTAATAATATTTCAAACGAGGTACAATATTATTGGAATCTATAGATTCTTTGTGTCAAATGTATTCTTCCAAACAGGTCCAAACAATTAATCCTTTAATAAAAATAGATCTTATTGCATTTACTAGCAAGTAGGTATTTAGTATCATTATGTTTTGTGTGGACAAAGTTTCACAGGATATTCATTCCATAATGTTAATAAAAATTCATAGCATGCATCGAATGTATATAATCTCATATATTGTAATCATATTGTAATTTTGTTATGGGACTTGGTATTTCAAGGGTATTTTGATTATCTTTCTATACTAATAAGATAACATCATCATTTCACACATACATACATTTTTCACATCATGATACTGTTTTTTCAGAACCAAAGAAACCTAGATCTAGAATTGGTACGTACACAGTAAAACATATTATATGCCATCCAAGACACGCAATTTCGATTCATGTAGGTCAGTTGCATAAAACATTTTCATCTCATACACCTTCTTACCTGCTGCAAACACAATTCACGCTTCTCAATACTTCTAGAAGTCACTGGAACACCTATAATGTCTTGCCTTAAAATAGGACCTGAAGCCGAATAGCTTTTCTAGTTTTTGTTCTCTTCCTTTATAGATCCGGAGCTGCACAACACTTTGGCAAATAATAAAAAAATCCACTAATGTGTTATATAAGTGAAAAACTGACGGTTTTGAATAGCAAGTTTATCTATAATATGTAGCATTTTTCTCATTGACGACTGACGTTTACGTCAGCCTATGTAGATAATATTCTTGTATCGACATTTCACTTCTAAAATAAAAAACGAATAAATATCGAATTTGTTGCTGATTTATAAAATTTTGTATTGATATAATTCTCACATGCTTTTGCAGTACCAGTGTACGCAAAATATTTTGTATTTATGTCTCATAATAAGGAGGGGATACAGGCAGTTCACCTTATCAGACCCAGCGTGATTACTCTTTTCTTTTATACAAAGTCCAGAAAGAAAATGATCTTTCTATTCTACCTATGTGGACTGTGAGTCTTTTTATAAAAAATAAGGAGTGTTTAAGTAAAAGTTATCAATTAATTAATATATAAATCAAAATCAGCTAAAAATATTTAAACAAAATCAGAAGAGCTTTAGATGATGCGACGCTATCGATAAAAATAATCACAAAAAGATTAGCAACTTTCACTGAACACAATCAAAACGATTGCTAACTAATTGTCTGCGTAATTCCGATCGCCACGGAAGATTCACTGGTTCAAGTTAATCGTGATATTTATCACTTTCAATAGCAATTAGATAATAATTATGAATTTTTAGGAATGCTGTGGCAGCGACTTTCATTTTTCACCAAACAGGATATAATTAGCGTAACAAATTCAGTTTTAAAATCGGTAAAGATGAAGTGGTAAACAAATTAAAGTTGAGCTTTTTTAAGAATACCAGTTAAACGAGTTAAAATTTAAATAGCAACTTTGATGACCACTGATTAGAACTTGAAAGTGAAATAGATATGCAAACAGAAACAGTCTTTATCTTAATATGTTTATTGAAATGGTATGTGTCGAGGCACGACATTGGTTGAATTAAGATTGTAACTCCTATTATGGTTTAATAAATTACATACTTCTATTAAGAAATAAGAGAACTATGAATGTCATATTATGACCATGCATGGACAATGTAATAGAAGGTGACGTACACCGATGACTCTTTGATTGACCGATCAAAGGACAATTTGTACATCGTTTCATCTATTTCGTCGCTGAATACAGAAAGTTTAAATATTCGTTACATTCGCTAAATCAAAAATATCTCGGGGTAATATGGTACTGCTATGAAGAAAAATGGAACTCTACATAACAATACCTGGATTTGTTTCCTTTTTGTTCTGATATGATCATTAAAATAGTAGTAAATATTAAAGGCTCCTAATGCCAATCATCATTTCCAATTATATATCTTCTGTATGCAAATAATTTTTCTTGCTTTCTTTCTTTTAATCGATGTCATCCATCTTCTTCATTTCATTTTAAACTGTAGTATTATCTTTTACTTACATAGATTTAAAGTACATACACGCACATCACACATTGCACATTTATTACAGACAATTCTGGTTGTAACAAGGAAATATGGGGTCTGATTTTTAAGGTTTAGAACGTAATGCATGTTAAATTAAGAACTTATAAATATAAAAATAATCTATATATAATTTTTTGATAACTACCTAATTATGACTAATAAAACAGGTGTAGTTACTAAGGTATCGATCGTTGTATAAAGTTTTTCTAGGTTCTAATAGAAAGTAAATATTGAACTAATTTTCTTTATAATTTAATCATCTGGTGCCATCATCAAAATAATACTCTATTGGTGAAACATTCATCTTATCCTCTTAACAATTTCCTATGTAAAAATGTAGAAAATCATTTGTTAGAGGAAGTAGACATATTAACGGGTCTGGATTCTCTGGTGGCTGGTACATTTGCCAATGAGATTCCTGATGATGACCTGGTTTACAGAGGAGGTCCTATCGTCCCAGGCGGATTCTGATGAGATGGTAGCCAACCTGCTGCGATGGATACAGGGAATATATCAACAAAGGAATAGGAAAGGTCTGAAAAATATATTTAGGGTGACTTACATTATTTTATTAGGCAATTAGAATTAAGGATTACATGGTTTCATACAGTATCCCTTGACTTTTTGTTTAGGTCATATACGTTATTATTGTGCATCTAATTTATTAATTTTAATATATGTTCATGTTTGTAGCTAATCTTATATTTATAAAAAATCATTCAAATATCACTGTGAATATTTTGCACTTTTCAAATGTTACCTAGGTATGAAATAAATAGTTTGAAATTAATATGTTGTAAATTTTCAGCTCGCCAGTACTTTGGAGGTAAACCTGAAAAGCCAAGACCGTTCGAGCCTGCCATGTATTTGCCACCTACGGGCTATCCCCCAGCGGGGACAAGGCCATCACCGGCATATAGTGATGGCCTCGGTCCCTCCCCCACCATCCCGTCCCTCCAACCCAGCCAGCCATCGCCAACCCCAAGCCAGCCTTTTTTGCCGCCAAGTAGTCCGCCAGAGCAGCCACCTTATCAACCAAGTCAACCATCGTTTTCAACAAGCAATCCTACTTACAAACCGAGCCAGCCTACTTACCAACCAAGTCAACCTACTTACCAACCAAGCCAACCTACTTACCAACCAAGCCAGCCTACACAACCTACATATTTGCCAAGTCAACCCTCGCAACCTAGCCAACCAGACTATCAACCCAGCCAACCAAGCCAACCTGACTATCAGCCAAGTCAACCAACATCACCGCCGTATCGGCCAAGTCAACCAGCGCAACCTTCTGTTACACCATCATACGAACCCATCGTTAATACTAAAGCACCCACTGTTGTTATTACTCCACCAGTGCCTGTTGACGATGATGAAGATCGCCACCCCCCTCACATACATGCTATCACAGTCGATTGTGGCAAGGAAATGATGACAATCAATATAGAATTCAATAAACCATACAACGGACTTATATACTCTCAGGATCATTTCAGTGATTCATCGTGTGTTTATGTTCGTGAAAACTCAAACCAAATCAAATTCTCCTTCACTGTAAGTTTAAATAAATGTGGCACGAGGTTCTTTAGTGACTTCCAGAATGAAGGTCAAGCTTATCTAGAAAACGTACTTGTCTTGCAAAACGAGCCTGGTATACAAGAAGTTTGGGACCATATTCGTAGAGTCAGGTGTTTGTGGGAAGGTAATCTAACAAGGCAATTAGTATCTTCTGTCAGCGTTGGCATGTTGAATCAAATCACTAGCAACTTTAGCGGAGACACCGCAATGGCACGATTAGACATTCAAACTGGTCGAGGACCTTTTGCTCCAGAAGCGAATGGTTTAGTTAAGATCGGAGAAACCATGACTCTGGTTGTAACTGTAACAGGCGATGCTGGATTCGATATATTTGTTAGGGAATGTATAGCCCGCGATTCAGATAGCAGAAATGTCGTGCCACTGACAGATAGCAATGGCTGCGTATTGAAGCCCAAACTCTTCGGAGCTTTCCAGAAGACAAGAGACACGGGAAATACTGGTGCTTCTGTCATTGCTTTTGCGTACTTCAATGCATTTAAGTTCCCCGATGAAATGGACTTGATTATACAATGTGACGTCGAGTTGTGCAAGACTGATTGTGACGCGTGTCCGAACCCTGGAAGCTTAGAGCCAAGGAGGCGAAGACGAGACATAATCCACGTTGGAAATAGAACTATTGAGCCCTCTACTACAATAAGTAAAGGTCTCAGAGTGGTCTTCGCTGAAGATCTCCCCACGCCTTCCGGATTCTGCGTTTCTCCCTCTGCCGCCATGTGGGGCAGTATTCTGGTATTCCTTGGCTCTTTAATGAGCAGTTTATTGGTTTCTTTTTGTTGGATCAGATCAAGGGGTTCAGTTAAGTTTACGTAATTATTAAGAAAATGTACATACTTGAAGCTACAAAGAATAATTCCATAAGATATTTATGTAAAAATATTTTAAATAATCTATAAAAGCAATTTTATTATTTGTTAATGAAATGAAGATATTAAGTAGTTATAGATACTCTTATCTTAAGGTTTTTATGCATAGCTTGATGACACGAGGTAAGCTATTTTTATTCAGTATAAGCATCTTTTAGATTAAACTTTTACATAGTTACCTAAAGTAGAAATGTGTGATTATTGATTAATGAATGAGTCATATAAGCGTAGCTTACTTAAGAAACACCTGTGATTCGTCCACTCTGTGTCATTATTAAAAACTTGAAAAAATATCTTTATAATATGCCTTTACGATTTGAAAAGGCTGATTTTTAAAGTGAATGCGAGAAAATTGTCCTTATCTCCTAGATTTTATAAAATCAGAAAATATAAAACCCTGTAATTTCTGTGTTACTACGATCTTGCGAAATATCTGTATTATTAAAAAGTATTGATAAATTAAAAGTGAATTAATTTAATAAATTAATAAAAAGTTTATTTATTAAGGATACAATTTTAATTTCTGTGAACATTTTAATTTAATTTTGTATTGTAAATATAAGAACATACTATGTACAAAAATAAATTTAAACTAATTAAACGGTATTTTTATTTATTAAGAAATAACAAATGTTATAATCATCGTCAGCTAGATCTGAGATAAAGGAATGGTCAAAATCTGGTAGATAGCTTTGCTCCACTTTTATAAGTTACATAAAGAATCAAATGATTATGAAACTATATTAGAATGAAAGCCTAATATCGACAAAGTTACTAAAATTCAAAGACAAATAGTTATCTTTCCGAATATAAAAAAATATTCACTAGATACAGAAGAATTGGATTCAAAATTCAAAAATTCAATTCAATATCATTTATTCAGTCTAGGCTGTTACAAGCACTTGTGAATGTCGAAAAGCTACGCCATCGGTTCGCAAATCTACGGCGGGAGACCTTGTACTGAGAAGAACCGGCAAGAAACTCAGCAAGGGCTGTTTTTTTCTCCCTGTATTATATACAGAGTCGTCAATTGGTGTGATACTCTTGCTTCTAGATCACCCCAATACAACAGAAAGAAAACGCACAACTATATCTGTATCATATCTTACATTATAGTAGGTATATTATTTATAAATTTTATGGATTTTACTTTTAACATAAATAATAGTGACTTAAAAATATTTTTTTAATATTTCACAACAGATTGTTAATACTGCATTAATCTAGTTCGAATATTAAGATTTTCTTCTATTTTTAATAATATTTAATCAGTTTCTGCTACATCTCTTTTAAAACTCTGACTCTTTCAAAGTACGATATTCTTCATTTTATGGAAACATAAAACGCATTTCTATATCGATACATAGTCCTCTTTAGATCTTTTTTTTTTTTAATTTATTTACTTGGTTTATTATTTAAGAAATAGACTTTGTATAGCGTCAGCAGATAAACCTTTAGTCTCGGGCAGTTTGAGTATCGCGTACACAGTTCCCAAGAAGCAAACAGCGGAGAAAAAGTAGAAGACGGGAACCAGACCGTAGTTGTCCACCACGGGGTTGAAGATGAACAGCGTTATGAAGTTAACTACCCACACGAAACCCATGGCAATGCTGTTGCAGAAACCTCGGACCTAAACGTAAAAAAGAAAGAGTTGAATTTTATGCTTTTCCAGTTTTTTTTAAAAGTAAAAATTACCTTTATTTCTTTGAAGTACAAAGTTCTTAATTGTAATTGAAAATTTCTTGATTGATTAGGTTTTAAATATATGAATTAAGGACTTTGGTGAAATGGGCCTAACAATATTAATTATTGTAACCCCAAACTTGCCACGTAACTTCAACGACAACAACTGAATCACGATTTTATCAAGGTGTAACTTTGCGAGTGATATTTACACTACTGTATAAAATCCATTGGCGACACGTAAGGTGGGGAGTATGGGATCAGAAATACTGTCTCATGGTCACATGTATATTGTTGGCTAATCTGGTCGCTTACTATCAGGTGGACAACATATTTGTTTACCGTGCTTTTTACACCAAACATCTAACAATTTTGAAACTACCATCGGTAGATTATTATGTTTTATTTTAAGCATTAAGCAGCTAGATTTTATATCGGATCGGATGCGGATTCTAGTCCCGCCTAAAACCTGGACCGAGTGAATTTTCTACCATCGGTAGTTTTCTGAGGAGCTCAATGACGTAGGTGGATAGCGCGTTCGGCTTGCGATAGTGAAAATTAGTCAATTTTACAATAATCATTCATTGTATGGGTAACCAACTTACTTATTATGTCGAGTTCCTCCGTGTTTCGAATGGCTCGTCAAGCCGTTGTTTCCAGCTGCATCCGCAGTGGTTAGCACCCACCTATCCGCCATGGGCCCGCGTGGTGGGTCATGGCCCAATATCCCTTTTTCATCCATAGGGAGGGTCTGTGCTCCAGCAGTGGGGACATTAATAGGCTGATGATGATTTGTAGTTTCAAAAACTCACCTCAGGTAGGAAGACTTCAGCGGCCAGTACGAACGGTATGACCGCGCAGCCCACAGTATAGATGAACGTATACAAGTAGATAAGGAGCACGGTGAACCAGTGTGGAGCCCAGTGGAGCTGCAACTGCGTGGCTAGTAGCAGGGTGCACACACCGGAGAGGGCTGAGGTGACAGCTAGGAGACGCTTTAGGGAAAAATGTGTAATTTTATGAAATCACGATACAAGTGTTTTTTAAAGTGTTTTATATAGCCTCAATATTTTATACTTTAATGATGAGTAGCAGGCAGGACCAATGACAGACAAGAACCAATGATCGACATTCCCTCTGTGATCAATCAAAAAAAGAGTAGGTAACTGATCACTAACATAAAACTGAGCGTCTATAGCTCGGTGTTATTCAGCAACTGGCCACCCACTCATACGTTCATTGATCACAGTAAAAATATCGATCACTGGCTCATGTTGGTCATTGGTTTCACTACCTTATAATCTGGCATATAAAATCATTTGGCCACTCAGGTGGCAGGAGAGCTTCCTTATTAATAGACATCAATGCTTATTGATAAGGTCTGAAATTTTTAATAACCATTTAAAATTTAATGCGACATGCTAAGGATGAACGAAAGAATTTGTGGCGATGTAATAAATCACTATAAAAATACTTTTAAAGTATGGAGTTGTGGTTTGATCGAGTACTCTCTGCAATTAAATAAGTTAAGCTATTTCTGCTAAGGTTTTTAAGAAGACTGTGTAGACCAATAATTTTTTTAGTATCCATTCCTGTAATGCTAAGTGATAATCCTCCTGTCAGCGGGTTTTCATATTAATTCAATATTTATAGCGGTCGATCTTATTATCTGCCTTAACAATCGCTGTATTTCAAATGGTTTACTGAATAAATAAATGATGTAGAATGTATATAATTAGTTGATGAAACCTCAGTTCTTTTAAAGTAAGTTTACATTATTTCTCCGCCACCAGTTCAAGTTAAAGTTAAAATTTATTCAGTTACCTTTCTTCCAAACTTATCGATGACTAGCACGCACACCACGCTGGCCAAAGTGAAATCTACAGCCAAGAATATGGCGCACAGGTTTGATGACATCAATGGTACTGCTTCTTTGAATAATGTTTCAGCGTATACTTGAAGGACTACAGCGCCCATCATGACAGTGAGAGCAATAACTATCAGGACAGCAGTCAGCGCTCGCTTGGATGATTTCGATTTTTCTGAAATTATTAGAAAAATGTAAACTGCTTTTTAATCTCTCTTAGTGGATGGAATGAGTCAAGAATATAGCGCACAGGTTTGATGACATCGATGGTACTGCCTCTTTGAACAGTGTTTTAGCATATACTTGAAGGACTACAGCGCCCATCATGACAGTAAGAGAAATCACTATCAGGACAGCAGTCAATGCCCGCTTGGAAAACTTGAATTTTTCTGGAAATTTAGTATTGAGGATATCTATGTAGAAACATGTTTAAAAAAGTAAACTTCTCTTTAATCTATATATATAAAACTCAAAGGTGACTGACTGACATAGTGATCTATCAACGCACAGCCCAAACCACTGGACGGATCGGGCTGAAGTTTGGCATGCAGGTAGATGTTATGACGTAGACATCCACTAAGAAAGGATTTTGATCAATTATACCCCCAAGGGGATAAAATAGGGAATGAAAGTTTGTATGAAACTTTGTCAATTTTAAACCGATCGGGCTGAGACTTTGCATGCAGGTATAAGAAGATTCATAGATGAATGTCATTGTGTTATAATACAAGCCTGAGAACAAAAACTGTAGTCTACACTTCAGCTCTACACCGAAGCGAAGCGAGGGCGGGCCGCTAGTCCTCTATAAATACGTCATAATGTGACGATGATGTGATGTCACTATGCACGTCTAATAGTCTATACTACGGCGAGTGTTCTGGCGAGTTATTCTGCTTCCCCTTTACTTCAGTCACAGCACCACGTGCACTAGCCTGTATTGCCTTCGAATTACTAGTAGCTATTATTCCAATGCAAAAAGATTTAAGAGACCCGTTTCTTTGTTGCACTTAGTGGAAAAGGAATACTTTGCCTGCTCATGTGTTTTCTCATTCCTTTAAAAATTCAAAAAAATTCAAAATTCAATATCGTTTATTCAGTCTAGGCTGTTACAAGCACTTGTGAATGTCGAAAAGCTACGCCATCGGTTCGCAAATCTACGGCGGGAGACCTTGTACTGAGAAGAACCGGCAAGAAACTCAGCAAGGGCTGTTTTTTTCTCCCTGTATTATATACAGAGTCGTCAATTTGAAAAATGACTTCAATATGAGATAACTCATGAAGTCATTTTCCATTACAAATGTAAATGATAAATCAATTATGACTATAAAATAAAAAATATAAAAAAACAAATTTCAAAATAAAAAAAGTTAAGGAATGCCGTGTCCTACTGTTTAGGCATAAAAACAAATGTACCATTAAAGTTAAATACAACGATTAATAGTACCCAATGTAGCAAGAGCAGACTCATCTCCGCTGGCAGCACCCGTTCACGAGCATGACGCATGAAGCAGTCATCGCTTCGCTGAACCATTTTTTAGGGAACGTAACGACCCGCCTCACACGACACCGCCGAAGAGATTTTTAAGAGAGCATGACTACTCATAACCACATATGGATACTAGATAGCAAAATAGGGGAAAAAAAATTAAGTACCAGTGTAAATGACTATAAAAAACTATAAACACAACTGTAGGACACATGCATGTGATTACCTAAACACTAGTGTCGACTCTGCCACTACTCTCCAAACCCAAAACCAAACCCAACATCAGTGCCCCCCCTTCACTCTGTATAGAGAATGACAAGGATACACCGCTGCAAAACCAAAGTTCAGGTCTAGAGAACCATGCCAGAATCCACTTAATCCACCAGAATTTAACTCAAGGTCCCTTAAAAGAAACTTTTTTAAACTTCAAATATAAAAGATTGTCGGACACAGTTCGTCGAAAAAACGCTTCGAATTTGTTTCTAAACGCATCATAATCATAAATATATACATATTCATTCAGTTTCAGTATGCCTACTATTTTTATTTTTGTCTTCAGCTTATTGGGCGGCAAGGTGAGGATTGTTGGCAGATAAAACTGCTGAACCTGCTATCTTAGCGTCTGGAAATCACTGCTTCATAACAGCAGTAACCTAAGTAGGAACTTTGACAGATTCGTATTCGTATCGCTAACGTCAAAGTTTCTATGGAAACTAAGTAGCATCCCTACCGGACTTATGAAAAAATTAGGCATAGAAAATTTAACATGACGATACGAATAGATAATTTCTCGCTAGTTGTTCCTGGTGTACTGATGGGGTGGAATAATTTGCTCCGAGCTAAATATAAAAATCGGGACACGCAAAGTTTAATGTATCCAAACTCTTGGGTGAAATAAATTGAGATTTAGAACTCACGAATATTTTTTATAACAAACTACCTATACAAAGGAATGTCAGCACTTACTGAAAATTTTCCAAGATGATTCTTTGTGCGTCTCAACTACATCACCCAGTTTGATTTTGAGGAGTTCTTCTGATAGCCCAGCATCTGAAAAAATAAAAATATGGTATGGTTTTAGGAAAACATGATGCAAGTGAAACTTTTAAAATGACCCATACTTAGCTAGGTGATGTTACTGTGGCTTATAAAAAGTCGAAAATAAAAAAAGTCCTTTCTCTGCTGGGTTTAAAAGTGTTATTTTACTGTAGTCTTCTGTAAGGTGGAGGTTACTTCTCCATACGGGCGCTTCAATTCGAGCGGAAAAACCAAATTCAGAAGAAATTAAGAGAGGTAGAAGGCATAGCGGAATATCTGTCGTCTGTCAGTCCGTTTATCACGGGTCTCAAATTCGTAAACGGAATGATTTATTTAACGAACTAAAACTTTGGCATTTTATGTAGAATGTAATAAATCTTTTATTCTACAACTACCGCAAAAAAGTGACAGTGTAAACCTTAATCAAACTCTACATACATAACTGATATGTGAGTGCAGCCGCTTAATGAATACAAAATGTCTTTCTACCTTTTCCATTCTCCAGTATCTTCTCTAATCTCGGATCGAGTTGTATTTTAATTTTCCTAATTTCTATTGTGACTCTTTTTGATGTAACATCAACTTGGTTGTAAAACGCTATCGCTTTTGCGGCTTCCTGAAATGTTATTTAAAACTTGATTAAATATTACATTCATATCAAATGTTTTAAAGAGACTATAATAAATGCAGGTGAATGTTATCCTTATAAAACACGGTCATCGAACTACAAAATCCTACCGGTACCCTTAGTACGAACCAATATCGAATTCGAATAGTCTGCGAGTCATTGTCAAATTCTTCATGGAAACTTTAACAGCAGCGCCATAACGAGAACTAAAAATCAGTACACATTTGAAAATGACATTTCGCACTCGCTAACTATTCGAATTCGATATTGATTCGTGCTAAGGTAGGTAGGTTACCAAAATATAATTAATCTTTCACTAAATGAGCTGGCGATCTAAATAAGTAGTTGAGACAAGGTACAGAATCTATGGTTGGCGCGTTAGGCTGTGATTGTTAAAGTAAGAAACTTTCGCAGTGGTCGGCCATTGGATGGTTGACCAAAAATAAACTATCTCAACTTATGCATCTGCAGTCGTTAGCACCCACCAATCCGCAAACAATTCATAGGGAAAGTTTTTAACCCAGCCTCGATGACATTAATAAGCTGATGATGATGACTGTGTTTTTTAAAATTTGTGTAATAATCATAAAATTAATTAATACTCTTTGTTAAAACATACCTCTTCCTTTCCAACCAGCACTAAGTATATCGGCGACTCTTCCAGCAAGAAAAGCGCTGCAACGCACACGACAGACAGTATCAAATGCGTATATACGACCTGGTAGTAATTTAAGTATCCACCTAGTATGTAGGATATCAGGATCCCCAGGAAGTACCCAGAAGCTGAGCAGGCAGTCAGGCCCCCTCTGACGGAGTCGTGTGCTATCTCCGCTATGAAGATCAGGGAGACGTTTTGCCCTGCTATGCCAATGCCCCCTATTGTCATAGCAATAAGGATCATTGGCACGCTCTTTGTGATTGCCACGATAATCCACGCCAGCTGTGTGACAAAGACAAGATCTGTGATACGTCTAAGTATGGCCGATTGAAGATCGCTTTATATTTAAAAATGCACTGTATGCTATTGGTAATGAAGCTGATTTTATTCAATAATAAATAAATATTTCCAACACTCACACCAATTAGCCTAGCTCCAAAGTAAGCACTGTAAGGCTGGTGTTATGGGATACTAGGGTAGCGTGGGGTAACAAGTATATTTATATAGAAATACATAATTATCGCTATATTCTGCAATACTATCTCACAACTAAATAGTTTATTTGACGACCTCCGTGGCCGAGTGGTTTATACGCCGGGTTTCATGGTGTCGCCGACTCGAGAGGCCCCGGGTTCGAATCCCGGTGGGGGCAGATGTTTGTGTGAAGAATTCGAACATTTGTACTCCAGTCATGGATGTTTAATATTTATTTCTATATTAATATACTTATATATGTACAATAAATGTATTTTATCCGTTACCCTAGTATCCCATAACACAAGCCTTACAGTGCTTACTTTGGGGCTAGGCTAATTGGTGTGAGTGTTGGAAATATTAATTTATTATTGATTTATTATTATTACATAGTCTGGAGGATCAGGGTAAGTGCACCAGTGTATGAACACCTTCCAGTAATTGAACAAAAGTAAGTTTTTGCAATAAAATAAGAAAACTATAGCTTTCTACTGAAACCAGTGTTTTTTTACGATAGTGATCACGTTTAAATTCATTAAATGAACATACAATAATTATTCAGTGAGCCGTAATAAAAAATGGTGACTGTTCAAAATCAGTGCGTTGTATTGAGTCTGTGTTTGTATTTTTGTGAGAGGTAAAACATAGCGGGTTTTCCCCTCTAATTGGAGCGCCCGTCTGGGGAAATAACCTTAAAGAAGACCACAGTAAAATAACAATACCTCTTGGTGGACTGTACGTTTGCCGCTGGCCTGTATGACCATTAAGCCAACGGCGCTCTTACTAATGTTTATGATATGACTGACGAATGACTTAATTAAGGTGCATATTAGAAGCTCACTGTTCAAGCTTGTAAGTATTTCCATTGAGGGTATCCACTCAAGGAATCAGAAAGAATTCATCAAGGAGGAGTTCGATGGCATGCAACACCGATCGTAGGATCATACTAACAATTTATTATCTTACGCTCTTCCGTGCTTCAGTAGGCACATTATGCCGTTAATTCCGACTGCAGGTGTAGGCAATAGCATTTACCAGCCTGTATTGAGCCTGCGTGGTTGGTCTTGGCCCAATCCACCCTATTCCATTCGTAGGGAAGGTTTTTATAGTGGGGACATTAATAAGTTATTCATTATGACTACAAGAAACAGGTGATACACACCATATAGGGTAGGCCGAACATGATCGTTGCATATTTCCTCCCCAGTGTATTAAAGAGGTAACCACAAAATGGCGTAACTACCAAACCGCCCAGGTTAGGAAGACCCCCGAGCAGGGATATGTCTACAGAATTCATGGGTCTATTGAGGATTGTCGTGTTTGACTGAAAATTTTCCACGGTATAAGAAGGCCATGCACATATGAAGCCCGTCTGACTTGCCAGGAACGAAACTGTAAAATATAAATAAAGTATTAGTTTAATATTTTTTTTATATTTTAAGCATTTAACTGCCAGAAAAAAATATATAAATAATTTAATTTTTTAGTGCAATTTTCTAAAGTGTTAGTTTTAGGGTGCCATTACAAAGGGGTGACAACGGACCTCTATTAATAATTTTATTATTATAAAGGTATCTCATGAATCGTAATAGATAAAACCGTTGAAATATTTACAGACTCTTTTATAATCGTATTCTGTTGCCGCCATTACCAATAAAATTTTAAGAATTGGTATCTCAAACAAATATGGTATCAAAATAAGACAATCTTAATTAAATAAACTATGCATTGCTTTAACTGCCATAGCCACATTGCAGCAGGGCCCGAGTTCTATTAAAGATGGGGCAGCGGTTATTACAGGCAGGGCATTGCTCTATAATTTGGAACTGCATTGCAATGATTTATTACACGAATGTAATCCCAATCCCCTACCTCGTGAAGACCTGAAACCTTACTCACCGACAGAAACACAACGCCACTAAAAGGAAGCGTTATTTAATTGTGGTCTTCTGTAAGGTTAAGATTCCTTTCCTAGAAGGGAACTCCACTTAGGCTGCAAATCTCTATGCCATGCCTCTCTTAGATTTTTGTTTGTTTTGGTTTTTGATGCATTAAATTAGGACACGATAAAATATCTTTTGCTTTATAGAATGGATAGTGTCTCCTACTTTTTTCACTCGCAGTCCATCTCGGTTTATTTTGAGATGTTTTGATATAAACTTGGGATAATTTATTTATTGTGTTAATGAAATAATTATTATAGTGACTAGTGACAGATTTATCTGTATCAAAAGTGAAATTCAACGACAAACCAAATACACGTGTCCTACCTATTGTAAATATTATGCGTTTTGCATTTCCTCTACAAAGTCAATGATAAATCTGACATAATTGTGGCATCGAGCGCAAAGTGAGTATTAATGCACGATTGTTATATGTTAACTTCTCACTTTAGCAAGGTGCGTAAGTAGATTAAGAAAAATAGATTTTCTCTCAACTACCAATCTTAGCGTGATAAAATATACATACTATACATCGCATGCGCTCGGGCACTCAATTAACAAGAGTGCATTAATTACCTACTCACTTTAGCAAGGTATACGTTTTTTTTCAACTACCAAGCTCCGTACCGTAATAAAATATACCTACTAAAAATGAAAACTCAAGTTAATGACAACAAAATTTAATTTATTTTCTTCTCAAAACATTTAACATTAACAATTATTAAATGTACATTTATTAAAAGCGAAAATCGCACGTTAACTTGGAATATTTACTCTTGTAATTTATTTCACGAAGTCGGTTTTATTCAGCCAGAATCTTTTTGGTCCGCCTTCATTTTATAATAAACTAAATGGGAGGCATTCAACCACTGTGGTTATTATATATCTAAAAAAACTATTTTTTTAGAACTATTTCACTAATGAAAAACTGTGCAACAATGAGATATATAGAATTTCTGAACTGTTCTGTCTATAAGCAAAAAATACATCCTTTTTTATTATCTGGCTTTTAGTGATTAATGATATAATTACTACGTAGTTGAAAGAAAATATTATTTTACTAATAGGTGTCGGTCTACTCCGTCTACGTAGGATAATAGTTCTTATTTTCGTAACAAACAGTAGCCTTTAACCTTTTCCTTTTGATTTATCCAGATTGAAATATCATTCCATATTATCAAAATGTAGTAAGTATAATGCCGTAGTTCTTTCAACTTTACTCAGTGTAGGAACTAGGAACGTTCCACTGCTTGATCAAAGGCCTTCCCATTAAACGTGTTTTCTAAAATGCAGTGAAGTTTGAGATAATAAATTTTTGGTCACCCATCCCATGTAAGACCATTGCGAAAGTTGCTAATTTTCGACGATCGCAGACTAATCTAACATCTGCACCATCGAGCTTCTCAAAAAACAGTATTTGGTAGATTCTGTTCTGTGCAGTTGAGAATACTTCTACGGAACTTCTATCCTTATGGTGTCTGTTGAACTATGCTTAAATACAAATTTTACTATTTCACAAGCACTGAAGTGATTTCAGAATACGTTGCAATAGTTTTAAATTTCACAAGACCTTGCAATATTATTTCACCGCTGCTGGGGCACAGGCCTTCCCTATGGATCGAATAGTGAGATTGAGTCATTACCTGCCAGGTGGGCACATGTACGAATTGGTGACTGCTAATGACTGCAGATGCAGCCGGGACTAAACTAACGGCTTAACGTGCCTTCTGATGCACGAAGGAGCACAAGATTTACAAAAACAAAATAGAAATGGAACCTAATAATATAAATATTTTAAATTTATACTAACTGCAAAAAGTAGCGAGGCATTGTATTCCCAAAGCAGAAAGTTTCAACTTCTCATTATCCATTTCCAATAAGTATAAAATAATTCATTAATTATCACCTCACCGCCACTGCTATGAAACCACTCACTGCTGTTTAGAATAGGTAATTTCTGTTATCACTACTACTGTAGTGTAGTGTGTGAAATATGATGTTATAAATGTCATTTTGTTTATTGATGTGGTGTGCTCTTAGAACTTGATAAAGTAGGGTAAACTACTATATTGATGTACATCTAAATATTATGATATGTTATCTATTCGTTCTTTATTTACGAATGACACTGGATGGAAGAAAAAGATGCTCGTTTCATCACGCAGATAGTTTAAAAATATATCGAAAGACAAGGATCTTTAGGATATCAGTAGTAAACACTAGAATCGCTCTTACCTGGTGATTCTAAAGTAATATATATATATATATATATGGCGATGTTAACTAAATGTAGAAGGAAAGGAGAAGCTTGATGGCACAGGTGGTTAGCGCATTCGGCCTGCGATTGTGAAGTTCAGTAACTTTCGCAATGGTCTGTTATTGGATGGGTAACTAAAAAATATTATCGCGAGATCTTCCGTGCTTCGAAAGGCATTTTAACCCGTTGGTCTCAGCTGCATCTGCAGTCGTTAGCATCCACCAATTCCACCAGTACCTTCGTGGCAGGTCACGGCCCAGTCTCCCTATTCCATCCATAGGGAATGCCTGATGATGATGATGTTTACCAACTTAAGAACCGTGATTTATGTTCTTTCAATCTGTACTACGCTGACCACGAGTAGGTACCTATAGAAAAAAAATCATAATTATGATAGAAAGCATCATACTACACATATTTAAGAAAATCATGCAGTATCGTCATAAGTGTTTTTACCTTACTTGCGGTATATTCTCGTCTGATTTTATAAATGATCCTCTCAAACAATAAAAATGAATTACTTTATGAACACTGTTGTGTTGGGTTTGTTTGTTGTGTGAGAATTAAATACTTACATTTGTACGTTTTAGCGATTTAATTATAACTTAAAAAGAGAAGTATAAACAGACTGCGTAATGCGTCCAAAAGCAATTTTCTCCAAAATTACGGGTTACGTCCTTTGAGGGTTTTTACCCGACTGCGCAATGCAAGAGCGCGAAGCGCGACGCACAGACAGGGTATAGTGTTTAACAGTGTATATATGTATGTTTGTTCCTTTGTGGCACATTAAGACCAAACGCGTAGACCGATTTTGATGATTCATACTCGTACATCAATCGATTTGTCTTAATCATGGGAGTGCTACTAAATATGATAGTAATCAAAATTCAATATGGGGACAGTTAGGCGTCATATTGTGACGAAGTAAAAAAAAATAAGTGTTCGAAATACACACATCAAAAGTGTCTAGGGATCAACATATATTTTTGCAATAACTTTTCTCCTGATTGATATTAATTAAAATTTTCTTTAAGGATTCATCAAATAAAGTGTTTTCGTTTGTCACAGTAACGATAAACCAAGTCACTTTTGCATTAATAAAGAAATTTGCCATTTTCCTAATAAAGGGATTTTTGACATTTGAACCACTAACACAAAAGTTCGAAAAAAAGACTGAAATAACAGTTTTCTCTAAAATTTTATTGGGTAACTTAAACAATTAATAATCCGTATTTCTACCGCGAACACTAACAACACAAGAACATCGGTTTGGCATACTCAAAATGAGTTCATCCAAATCACGCTGTGGAATGGCCGCCCATGTTCGTTGCAACAACAAAAAAAGGTCTTCTTGCGACTGGATACCCTCCATATTCGGCAGAGCTCTTCTCTGTAGCATATCCCATGCATGCTCAATCGGGTTCAAGTCTGGCGACTGAGCAGGCCAGGGCAGGACATTGATGTTAGCTGCGGCGAGAGTCTGTCTTACAACTCTTGCGGTGTGCGGTCGTGCATTATCATGCATTAACTGAAAAATAAGGGACCGATTTGCACTTGTAGAGGAACGATGACGTCTGATACAATCGTCTCAGCATAAATTTGAGCGTTGAGGTTGCCTCTGATCCAAATCAACTCAGTTCTTCCGCCGATCCAAATACCCGCCCATACCATGATGGTTCCACCACTATAAGGATGGACTTCCTGGCAGGATTTTAATCGCTGTTGGCGTCCAGGGGTTCTCCAGTGTCGTATACGTCTTGTATCCGGTCTCATACCAAAACGAGACTCATCAGAAAAGCACACGAAACGCCATTGTTCTTCTGCCCAATTTCTGTGTTCAAGAGCCCATTGATATCGAATCCTACGATTGTGCATTGCTATAGGTGGTACCCGTAGCGGTCTTCGGGAATGAAGGTTCACTTCATGCAAGCGGTTTCTGACTGTTTGGTCGCTAATTAAGTTCCCTGAAGAGTGATGAAGCCTCACGGCTAACATCATGGCGGTTATTGTTGGAGCTCTTCGAGTTAAGATTTGAATGTATCGGTCTTGTCTCCGTGTGGTGCAGCGATACCGTCCTCCATGGCGCTCAGCCACGGTACCAGTGCTTCGGTATCGTGTCCAAAGTCGACTGATAACACTCTGACTTGTATTCAGAGCTAAAGCCACAGTACGTTGCCGGGAACCAGCTTCTATCATTCCCACGGCTCTGAGCATTTCTTCCCTGCTTAAATGACGTCGCCGCTCCATAATAACGTTGGTTTTAATCAGTAGTAGGGAAACAGTAGCACTAATAATGTCTTCAATGCGTTGTATGTTTTTATAGGGAAAATATTGACAGCTGATTTTCATCTTTTACTCGAATTTGATTCACAGTTCCTGATTCAAATTATGAAATGCACCAAAAAGGATCCATATAAATTTATAAAATCATAAATTTATTACAAAGCCACATCTCAATCTCAAGAAATCCGCATAAAAATGCTTGATCCCTAGACACTTTTGATGTGTGTATGTCGATTGGGGTATTGTCTGATAATCGAAAATCATGTTTAGGCTCCCTAAACCATTTTTCATTTTATATGACTGTTTAGGATCTACAACGATTTAAAGTTGTATTAGCCACTTGCGTTTGTATGGATCTTTGTCACTGTTTCACCCAAAAAATACTGAATGGATTTTAATGAAAATTTACAATAATACAGCTCATACAGGATAATAACATATAGATAATAATTTACGTAGTCATTGAGTGAATTGGCCAAATTATAACAATAAGGGTCAAGTAAGACGGAAAAAAATCTCCCATTTGTGAGCCATTTCGGCCTGTATTGCAAAAACAATAAAAGTTACATTAATATAATGTAGAGCGAAACTGTATCTCTTAAGAAGTTCTACAAAAAAACCGCGACACCATATATGTATTTTTAATATACAAGCCATTGTCGCTAAAATAGTGAATCTAAAATAAAATATTATTTGATGTCCATTTCCAAAATGCACATTTGGTATTTACAAATTATTTTTTATCAAAATAAATACTTTTATCCTTTTTGATATTTAAAGACGATAAAGTTTGCCTTTTACACTATGGCATTTCGACAAATTTTTCATTGAAAAATTTTATCCATTCTTGAATATCTAATGGGTCCCGGCTGTTAAAGTAGCTTTGTTCCTTACTTAACAGAATTATAGACTACTGGACTTGTTATTTTTATTTTCAGTTTTTATATGAGCGTAATGAGAGTAATATTTTAGCGGTCGGGTTTTTTGATTTTTAAATTTATCATTTTTTTAAAGATAAGGAGCTATCAAATTATTTTCTTTTATTCAATCCAGCATGACGGCAGAGCACCTCCTTAGTTCTATATTTTGTCATTACCTACTTTCGCAAGATTATGTTAATTATGACGTATTCTAAAATAAACAAGTGAACATTTTATAAATACTTTGTAGTCGGATTAATTGTTTTATTGTACTCATGAACTCCTTATCTTTTTCCTGCCACGTTGTACGAGGTGACGTGTAACTGTTTTTAGAGTAATGTTGGGTAAATCAATCTTACTATTTTCTGTATGCACCTTTTCCAGGTTTGCCACGTGCGTGTCGTGTCTCGTTCAGTGTTGGGTTCCGTAGTTGGCTGTCGTTCGTTACCGCTATATATTTGAGCAGGAATATTTTTTTTCTGTATCGGAAATTAATAAACGTTAATTAATACTAAACTTTGTATCTCAACGAAAATAACTAAATCGAAGTCAAACTACGTCTCAAAATCAATAAGATGATATATTTTTTAATACGAACAGGGTTGCCAACCATAGATATTTTTTCCTCGTATTTAAGCAGCCAAAAATCTCATTTTTTTTTATAGTTAGGTCCGACAAATGACTCCACCCCATCGTCACCTTGCCGGCCTGCATGTTGCTTCTTCACGCCTCTTTTGAAGGATCCCAGGTTGTAAGAAGGAGGGAACACGTGAGCAGGCAGAGCATTCCATTTACGGAAAGTGCGACAAAGAAATGAGTCAGATAAATTTCTTTGTACGCGTTGGAATTGTGGCCACAGTTAGATGGTGACATCGAAGGCCAGCGCGCGTGGTCCTCTGAAGGAAAGGGGAAGGTGGAATAAGAGAGAATAACTTTTCAGAACACTCGCCGTGATACATTAATTTAGAAAAATAACCCCTAATAAAGTAATTTTAAAGACCTAATCAACGATAACGATAAATGATAGGGTAGAAGATAAAAAAACGAGTGTGCTTATGACGTATATATATATAATATTTATGTGTGCAAATATATACATGTATGTACAAATACATTTTTTTTATAGCGAGGTAGGGAAATGACCCCATCTGATGTTAAGTGGTGATAAAGTCCAAACGCGAAGATAGCTGGTATAGCAGTTATAAACTGCTCTACACCAACCATCCTCACCTTGCTGGCCTTTTTTTTTTTTTGATATGCTGGGGAAATGCATTAAATTGCATACCACATGGTGGTTATGTGGGGCTCTCCTCCCCAGAAGGGGGGGGGGGATCGAGTATCGCATCTGAGGACCCGCAGCCTTTGTTCCCCTGCTTCCTCCAGGGGAGTTCTTCTCGGGGGAGTGTTCGCAACCTCCCCCATCCACCCTCCTACGACGACACCCCCCAGCCAAGCGGGGGTGTCG